TGCTTTCTAGGAGCCGCGCCAGCCCGGACTCGGATTCACGGTGTGTTTTGCCTTCACTTTAAGAAGCATTTAGTGAGGGGGGGAGGGGGGCCGTGAGTCGCGGCTCGGGTGGGGAAGGGGCTTCAACAGAAATCCCCGCAGCGCCCTCCTCGCCCCCATCCCCCATCCCCGTCCCTGTTCTCTGAAGGAGGCGGCAGCTAAGCAGACGTCCCGGAGACGAAAAGGCGCCCGCAGAGCTGATGGCCGAGGCTCGGCGTGTCTGCGCCCCTCCCGGCGGGAAGGCTCCGAACCCCACCGTGGGCTCCCCGCCATGACATTCCTCAAGTTCCCGTCTGAATGCCGGTCCCTCGTCCCACATTCCATTCCCCAGCTTACAGTGTGCAGTAGCCGAGTCCCAAAGTGGAAGCAAGAGCAAGAAGACGGCGCTGAGCCCCACAGACCGCTCCATCTCCACCCAAAGCGGGAGCGGGCACGGCCAGGACCCGAGGGTTATTAACACCACGCGCGGTAGCCCCCTGAACCGCCTGTGCTGCAGGTCTGCGCAGACTCGTGTGTAGTTCGCTTTCCTGCTCATTCATACACTGCCCTGCGCCCCACCCCGGGGGTTGGCCGCAGCGCCGGCGCAGCTGCAGTTCCCCATTGACTGTCCTCTCTTGCGCCCCGCCCCGGGGTGGACCGCCGCCGGCCTGCAAGCCTGGTACTCGTCACTGGGCCTCACCTGCTCTACGTCCGGACCGCCGAGCTTGGCCCACCCCTGGCTCCCGGGTTAATGAGTCACTACCGGACCTGCCACACCTGCCCGCAGATTTGGCCTGTTCCCCCCCCCCCCCCCCCCCCTTTTGGATAAATAGGTGAGGGGGTATAGACAGGAAGGGAATTTTATTCAGTGAAAACACCTCAATAGTGTCACAGCATTGGTGCCATTCCTCTGTTAAGTCCCTCTCCATTCCTGGGGCTGTAATTCTTTTCTTTCTTTCTTTTTTAATATATTTTTTACAGAGAGGAAGGGAGAGGGATAGAGAGTTAGAAACATTGATCAACTGCCTCCTGCACACTCCCTACTGGGGATGTGCCCGCAATCAAGGTACATGCCCTTGACCACAATCAAACCCCGGACCCTTCAGTCTGCAGGCCAACACTCTATCCACTGAGCCAAACCAGTTAGGGCATGCAATTCTTGTAATATTTCATACACACCCCACTCCCACCCCCACCCCATTGGGCCTTACACCACCTCAGGTCTTCTTCACCCTATAGCCTCACACCCTATCTTAAAAGGCACAAACTTCCAGGTATAAATTAAATAAGTCGTGGGGCTGCAGAGCCTGGGGACTGTGGTTGATAATACTATATTGTAAACTGAGAGTTATTAGGAGGCACATCTAACACTTCTCACAGCAAAAACATTGTAACTATGTGTGGTGATAGATGTCAACTAGACTTACTGTGGTCATCTTTTCACAATAAATACAAATACCAAAGCATTATGTTGTACATTTGAAACAAATACAATGTTATATGTCAATTATATCTCAATAAAAATAGAAAAAGAAAGAAAACAAATGCAGGGGATTGATCCTGACACCAGAAATGTTGCACCAGCAGGACTCGGCTCACACCCATAGCTTCACCGGGTGTCCCTGGTGTCCTTCGTGGGGCAAAGTATCCAGTCTACAGCTAGAGGGGAGCACCGGCCTACCTGTGGGTCCCGCATCCTCTCACATTCACTCCAGCCTGAACCCACAGGCCAAATAGAACCACTTATACATGGAAGATATTGGTGAAATGGACAGTGATGCAGTGGCTGGGCTGGGGGAGGAGCAGTGACTCAGAGGGGCTGTGGCTGCGGTGAGGCTGGGGAAGTGAGCGCCTGCGCTGCCTGGGGTGACCCTCTGGCAAAGCTGCTGGGAAGGCCCAGGTGGAGAGCAGTGGGGGTGTTAGAGGGTTTGCCTGGGAAAGTGTAGTGGAGTTGGGGTATCCAGTCTGTGGATCGTGAACCCTGTGAACATTCCTCGTCCACAGGAGGACCCGGGCTGGGGGCCCTCTTCCCAGGGAGGGCTGGGAACTGTGGGGTGAGGGATGGGCATTAGCAGAATTTCCTGCTCCCTCCCCTACCCCCGTGACCCCGCCCATTCGCCCAGCATCACTCTTTAGCCCAAGTCCCCTGTTTTGTGTCCCTGGCCTTGCCTTGCCTGGTACACGGGGAGGGGAGTTGAACAGAGTGTGGTGGCACCAACCCTCGGGAAGGTTCTGAACCCCCGTAGGCGCCCTGTCCTGGTCCCCGTCCTAGTGCCCGCCCCCCCCCTCTCCTCCCCGCAGGTTCCATTCTGGCTTCACTGCCAGAGCTCCGCCCAGAGACAGTCCTGTAGTAGAAGCTGGGCCAGGAGGACAAGACCAAATTTGCTGCCCACTGTCCACACCATCGCGACCTGGAGCCGCATCCATAGGGTCCAAGGAGGGAATGAATCCCTGAGTGTCGTCCCTGCCCCTGGTCCTCCGGTTTGCCTCTCCCCCAGGCGGGCACCTGCTCCTTGGGGGAAGTGCCCCAGCATTTTAATCCCTTCTTGGGACCCTCAGCCCCCTTCCGCCACCCCATTCTCCTGACCACTTACCGCTTCCGGTCTCCTTTCCCAACTTCAAGATCATTTCTTCTTTTCTTAAAAGACTCAAGATTTTCAGTCCGAGAGCACTTCCTTTTTAAAGAAACAGGTAGAAGACATTCTTAGCTGTCTTCATCAACATGTGTTTCTACTGGTTTCTATCCCAGTGAAGCCCAAGGCTTTTTGTTGACTAAAGTACTCCCTCTTTGGAAGACTGATTCAGGATTTTTATTTCCAAGCTTGTTGTGCAGAGAAGTGTTGAAAGGCCTACAGTGCCACCTGAAGGCCTCTGATAGGGATCAGGGTACTTAAGGCTTTCAGTTCTGCAACTGGTTTTAGCCTCTATGGCCTTTTCCTCCTCACACTGGTCTCATTCATTCAGCCATTGACACAGCACCAACCAGCATTTAAGTAGCATGGGGGTCCTCTGGGGAGAATCACCCTAAACCAGAGTAAACCCATGGCCTCTTCAGCCTGAGAAGCTCTCCCAATTCCTGTTCAGAGGATCCTGTGTATGGTTCATATCTGCACATTCAAAGGCAGCTCAAGCAACAGAGGAAGTGCCATGGACTGCAGTGCATGGCCCACCTCTCTCATCCATAGAGGCCCTGGCCCCCAACCTCTGGGAGGGCAGCACCAGGCTACTTGCATGGTCTCCTCACTTAATCTTCTCAGTCCCTCAGGTAGTGTTTCCTGTATCACAAATGTGAAACAGGACATGGAAAGATGAAGGAACTAGCACAGGCACATCGCCAGAAATTCATCCAGATACCGGATTCCTGTGTGTGGACGTGTGGGATATAGTCCCCATCCAGTAATATAGCGTCAGGAGCCAATCCCACTAGCTCCTGGGGTCCGGTGTGAGTCTGGGGGCCAGGGACAAGCATTGGGCTGGACCAGGATGTGCAGGTGTCCAGAGAGGCCCGTCCTTCTCCCACCTGGCCTTCTCGCCAGGCCTTTCATGCCAGCCTCCCCCCTCCTGTTCTCCCAGTCACTTACCCCCTTCACCCAGCCTTGTGGGATAAGCCTCCCAGGCCCTTCCTGGTTGCCTCCTCCCAGGGATTAAATCCAGGCTTCTGTCCCCCAGCCCTAAGCATGGAGCCTCTTCTTACACACAGATCACCTGGATCCACCAAGATCTAACCCCAACCAAGCCTGTGTCCTGCCCAACCCTACATGTCTCTTGTCTTCCAAAGCACACAGCACAGGCCCCTTTTGCATAATGGCTCTAGTGAGTCAGTCCAGAACCTTCTATATCTTTTATATCTGTTAATTCACAGAGTTTGCTGCTATTTTATGTCCCTCAGTTTAAGAGGAGAGAGGCCTGGCATAGGCTTCCTCCACCTACCTTCAGTCTTGGGACAATTGAACTTACTGTCACAGGGAGCTCATTGTCTTCACTAGGTGACTGTGCGGAGCAGGAGGCCTTAGTCTATGCTGCTTATTTAATGGGGAGAAGGCTCATGGATGGGGGCAGGGTGGGACTCAGGACTTCCTAGTCCTTACACCAAGCTAAGACCCCCCTCAGCCGGAGCCACGGGACACTCTCCCCCCTCCCTTCCACACTCTCTAAAATCAATAGAAAAAAATTCTCTGGTGAGGACTAACCCAAAAAAAGGTGGAGGAGGGGAAGAAGAAGGAAACCTTACCTCTTAAGACAGCATGAATGGACCTGGAGAGCATTATCCTAAGTAAAATAAACGAGTCAGAGGAAGACAAGTACCATATATTTTCACTTATATGTAGAATCTGATGAACAAAATAAACTAACAAAGACAGACTCATGGATACAGAGGACAGACTGACAGCTGTCAGAGGGGATGTGTTGGGGTGCAGGGTGAAAAAGAAGGGATTAAGCCAAAAAAAACACAAACAAACAAAAAACCACAAAACTCTCATAGACAGAAAAAAGCATCTTGTTATTCTCAGGGTTTGAGATCTTGCCGTTGGTATTTGTCATGTTTGGCTCAGATAAACTAAAAAATTCTCTAAAAAAAGAATAACACAAAACTACAAAGGAATTCAGTTTTTTAGAATATAAGCATGTTTATTTAAATATTGTACTGTTATAAGCTACTAATGGAAACCATTGTAAATATAATTTTGTTCTTTAAAAATACATAATTTTGTGGACAGAAAGAAATTGTAAGATTTGGCACTTTTTGGTAATATCATTGGCTGCATCAGTCATGATGCAGAGATGTAACTGATCCTCCACAAAAATATGGAAAATGTTATCTTTCTTGAGATTTCCTATTGAAGCTATTAATGTTTAAATGTAGGAATTACATCTCTTAATACCACAGAAAGTGACATGATATGTTTAAAAAGCCCTGAGGAGGATACTCAGCAAATGCAATAACAGACATGAGATGCTGCCTCTACTCTCTCATCCTGATCTGACCCTGGTCTCTGGACAGAGGTTTGTACTCCTCGTGTTCTAACAACGAGCCGCAGGTCATCCAGAGGCAGCCAAGCAAAGGCAGAGTCACTGAGATGGTCCACACCACCAGGGCCTCCTTGGTCGCAGCGCATCGGCAGCCTGCAGAAAAGGGCGAGTGTTGGTCCCAGTGGCTGAGGAAATCCTGGGTCAGTTCTCCTGGGGCTACAGCACCCCAGTGACTCTCCATCTCCAGCCCTGCCCCCACTAGAGTCACATCTTTCCTTGAACCTGCCACTCCTGCCCTGGGACCAGCAGCCTGTACCAAGCTCTACCCACTCTTTGCACATCACAGAGTCACTCCAGCCCTGCCACAGATGTTCTGGGCTCAGGACTAAAGTAATGGCTCAATCTGCTCCCTTCACTCAGGTCTGATTCTCCTGGGGGTGGGAGGCTGTAAAGGACCTGGTGGGAGCTCTGATGGACAGGAAGGCCCATCCCGACACCTGACAGCCTGGGGAGGGTTGCAGACAATCATCCTTCTTTTCCTTCTCTCCCAGGCTCTTACCTAGCAGCACCTGGAGCTCTCAGTATGAAGGTCCCAGCCCTGCCCTATTCATAGGGGCCCCTCAGTGGCTGAGGATCTGAAATGTGGAGGAGGCTGGCTGTCAGGTGATTACACCAGGGCTCAGCCAGGAATCACGGGCCTCCTTCTAACCGTAAGGGTTGCTTCCTTAAGTAGTCCTTTCTGTTTGCCTCTCCCCCACCCCCCAACTGGCCGTTCTAAGCCACTTTCTGTGAACTTCAGCCTTTTGAACCGCCAAAAATAATAATAAAAAAAAATACATAATTACTTTTGTGGACAGAAAGAAATTGTGAGGTTTGGCACTTTTTGGCAATATCATTTGCATAAAAAATCATGATGCAGAGATGTAACTGATCCTCCACAAAAAAGATGGTAAATGTTCTCTTTGTGGAGATTTCTTATTGAAGCTATTAATGTCTAAATATAGGAATTATATCTCTTAGCACCACAGAAAGTGACATGTTATGTTTTAAAAGCTCTGAGGAGGATACTCAGCAAATGAAATAACAGACATGAGATGCTGCCTCTACTCTCTCATCCTGATCTGACCCTGGTCTCTGGACAGAGGTTTGAACTCCTCGTGTTCTAACAACGAGCAGCAGGTCATCCAGAGGCAGCCAAGCAAAGGCAGAGTCGCTGAGCTAGTCCACACCACCAGGGCCTTCATGGTCGCATCGCATCGGCAGCCTGCAGAAAAGGGCGAGTGTTGGTACCAGTGGCTGAGGAAATCCTGGGTCAGTTCTCCTGGGGCTACAGCACCCCAGTCACTCTCCATCTCCAGCCCTGCCCCCACTAGAGTCACATCTTCCCTGAACCGGCCACCCCTGCCCTGGGACCAGCAGCCTGTACCAAGCTCTGCCCACCCTTTGCACATCACAGAGTCACTCCAGCCCTGCTACAGACGTTCTGAGTTCAGGACTAAAGTAATGACTCAATCTGCTCCCTTCACTCAGGTCTGATTCTCCTGGTGGGGGGAAAGGGGGCGGGGGAGAAAGGCTGTAAAGGACCTGGTGGGAGCTCTGATGGACAGGAAGGCCCATCCCGACACCTGACAGCCTGGGGAGGGTTGCAGACAATCATCCTTCTTTTCCTTCTCTCCCAGGCTCTTACCTAGCAGCACCTGGAGCTCTCAGTATGAAGGTCCCAGCCCTGCCCTATTCATAGGGGCCCCTCAGTGGCTGAGGATCTGAAATGTGGAGGAGGCTGGCTGTCAGGTGATTACACCAGGGCTCAGCCAGGAATCACGGGCCTCCTTCTAACCGTAAGGGTTGCTTCCTTAAGTAGTCCTTTCTGTTTGCCTCCCCCCACCCCCTAATTGGCCTGTTCTAAGCCACTTTCTGTGAACTTCAGCCTTTTGAATTGGGTCTACAAGGCCTTCCACCATTTTCCACACAATTAAGCCCTCAATACCTGTTACTGTAAAGGACCCAGACTAAGATGCCAACTAGGGTTATGCAGGTGGGGATCAAAACGTAGATCCACCAGGCGATGGGCGTGTTGGTTGTGGCCTTGGATGGGACTGTGGCAGTGGCAGTGGTTGATGCAGCTGCAATGGAACACAAGAGTGATATCTGTGCAGAACCCCATTCTGAGAAGATGCCTCCTCAGCCCACGCTGTCCCAGGTAATCGTATGATGCCGACAGTTTCTACCCTCTACGTGAGGCAGCTAAGGTGACAGATTCTAGGCTTGGAGCAAAGAGAGGAGATGGGCCCTGGCCACTTGGGGCTCACACAGCTAATGGGGAAGCAAGGGTTACAATAATTACTCCTGCTGGGATAGAAGAGGAGGTGCACATGAGGAAGGTGGTAGAGAATCCTCCCAGGAGCTGATCTGAGGTGGTGTTAAAGGATTTCCAGAATAGGCCAGGTGAGTTGAAGAGAGAAGTGAAGGTGAGAAGAGGCAACAGGACAAGGAAAAGGTCTGAAAACAGAATAATGCCCACAGGTTTGCAGTCAGCAAGAAATCCATGGTGAGTGTTCCAAGGTTATGTTCAGGCAGAGACGTGAAGAAGAGAGAAACCAAAGGAAGAGACGTGAAGAAGAGAGAAACCAAACAGGGATTTCAGAGCTCATTTAAGGCCTTTTTCCTCCAGAAAACTCCAGTGTGGTAGGTGGGTCACTTTTTCAAACCACACACCATACAAACGCGCACACAGAGTGTGAATGTCATTTCAAGGGACCTACAACTTCATTCCCTCTGCAGAATTACCTTTTGTACTCAGAATTTCATCCTGGGGACACAAAACTTCTTTAAGCCACTTCATACATTCTGCAACTGAGGTCTTATTAAAGAGATTGGTCCTATAGTTGTCACCCGCCAATGTTTTCTTTAACAGTCTGCCTTCATTATTTAGCTCTCTCCCATTTCTGTTCTTTGAGTCAAAGCGGAGACATATCTGTCCATCCAATCCAAACTCCCAGGATGCGCTGGTGAGTCCATTGGATTCCTGCTCACACATCATGCTGCCCTGTAGGGAGAGAGGACCTGTCCCACCACCATGGGAAAGAGGTCAGCTTTGGGTCTTGACAGAGCCTCTGTGGCCACCTGGTGTCCAGCCCTCTGCTCCCCTCTTATCTCCTGGTCCTGCTCTGTCCTCTGTGGCTCCTGAGTCTCTTGGGTGGGACCAACTTGCAATATTTACATAAACACAATTGTTTCCTAACCCTGAACCCTGTTCCACCTCTACCCTGGGTTTTGTAAACATACCGCTGGTTGCAGTAATCTCTGCTTTAAAGTCAAGCAGGGTCTTCTTGAGCTCTTCCACCACATCTTGCAGAGTTTCTCTCTGCTGATTCCAGGCCTGTGTGGCATTCATCTCCAGAACACTGAAGAGTTTGACCTCCTGGCTACCACAGGTATAATGAAGAAATGTGTTTCCATTGACCTGGCCTTGAATTTCACACCATGGTTGTCCATTAGGAGTGACTGTGAAGTTATAGCCCAGAGATTTAGCACCTGTGAGGAGAAAATGCAGGGGAAGGTTGGAGTTGGAATAAAAGTAACCCTATGTGCCCCTCCCCTATTTTTGACAGCAAGTGAATCCCCCTGATGGCTGAGCAGCCCTTGTCCTGTTCAGGTCCAGGCGTCAGGGGCTCAGGCTTCCACTTTCTTTATTTTTCCAGAAAAGGATATATTTTTATTCAAGTAATTGCAAGTAGGAAACCAGAGGGAGGGGCCCAGGCTGGGACAAATCATGGCTACCTCCTCCCGGCAGAACGGGGAGAAGGTGGCCCTACACTCTCCGCTGTCAACACAGGCCCCCGCTCACTCAGCTGCAGCATCCTAGGGGCAGAGCCCCCACTTCCCTGGGACTGGGGCAGTCGATTCCCAGCCTGCTTTGCCCCTGGCTCCTTCCCAAGAGCATCTTGGAGGGGAGTGTGGGCAGAACAGGAGGCAGTGAGGATGAACATTTGGCGCTGGTAGCAGCAGCAATGACAGATGTCTAAGAATGAAACATGGAACAAAAAACAACACAACTGTCCAGAGGTAGTTTGTGAACAGAGGAAAGATGGAACCAGAACCTTGGGGGATGGGGAGGAGCGGGGGGTGGGAGTGGGCAAGGCTAGCTCCTGGTTAGTGCCCCATGTGAGGGGGAGGAAACTGGAGGCCTAGAGTGGAAGCAGATGGGGCCAGGGGCTCACACCCCTCCTGCCTTCCCTCCTGTGCCCCAGGGGGGCGCTGTTCAACCTAGTGCAGGGCTAGGAGGGAGTGTGGGCAGAAGAGGAGGCAGTGAGGATGAACATTGGGCGCTGGCAGCAGCAGCAATGACAGATGTCTAAGAATGGAACATGGAACAAAAAACAACACAACTGTCCAGAGGGAGTTTGTGAACAGAGGAAAGATGGAACCAGAACCTTGGGGGATGGGGAGGAGCGGGGGGTGGGAGTGGGCAAGGCTAGCTCCTGGTTAGTGCCCCATGTGAGGGGGAGGAAACTGGAGGCCTAGAGTGGAAGCAGATGGGGCCAGGGGCTCACACCCCTCCTGCCTTCCCTCCTGTGCCCCAGGGGGGCGCTGTTCAACCTAGTGCAGGGCTAGGCACCTGTGGAAGGAAGGAAAGTGGGAGTGAGCCGCACCTGGTGAGACACAGGTTTGTTGGGTCATCTTGGGGCCAAACAACCCTATCCATGGCCACAGGTGCTGCTGCCAGGACAGTGGAGCGGGCATGTCAGAGTGAGATGGGGCTCAGGCCCCTTTAAGGCCAGGGGAACCCTCCCAGGCCCCCTCATGGGAAGCCAGAGGTAAGAGTGGGGAAGGGACCCCCTAAACCAGGAGCCCAGTCAGCAATGCTCCCACCACCCAGGGCGCAGGGACGCAGCGGGCACGGGGTGTTGCTAAGTGGGACGTCAGCTTAGTCAGGAGGCCGGGGGGGATGCAGGTTGGGGTGTGGGGTGCTGGGAACCGAGCTCAAAGGAAAACTGCTTCCCATGGGCCCCCAGGGCCGGGCTGCTGTGCCGTGTAGTGAGGCGTTGCAGGCGGCGCAGGCGGGTGGTGGAGGCCGGGGAGTCCGGGGAGAGGGGGGCACAGGGAGCGGAGCTGCCCATCCCAGAAGGAGACGCTCCGCGGCGAGGAAGCGGGTGGCCGGTCGCTGCTCCTCCCGGGAGGACCCCTGGAGATGCCCTCCTCCTCCTCCCTCTCCCGTGCCCTGGGTCTGCCCTGGCTTCCTCCCTGGAATCGTGGTTTCCGGGTCCGGGCAGCGCCCTGTTTGCTCCCCTGTGGTCCGCCCCGAGGCCTCAGGTGTGGGCCCTTCGCTGGGCTCCTCGGGCGGCTGCTTTCCCGGCCGCCCCGCCCG